GGGCTCCACGTTGCTGCCCCCGAACGCCGCCACCTCCCCCAGCTGCCGCGGCACCTGGATGGCCTCGTGGAGCAGGACGCCGAGGTGCCGCTGGTCACACAGGCCCCCAGGGTTGGCCACTTGGCTGAAGAGATCTGCCAGCCAGATGGACACGGAGACCCCACGTGAGGACGGGGATGTGGGAGAGCTCGGCACGGCTCGGACAGAGGCCCAGCTCCATCGGGAACTGGCATTAAACGACCTTTGCCAGCGCCTTTCCAGCTCCCAACCATCTAGAAGTTTGGAGTACTTGAAACACATGTTACATTTACATCACTTCTTCCATAGCCTCAGCTGGCCTGTCCTCTGCAAATCAGCCCGAGCCCTTTATTACACCCCTCAGCACTTTGGGCCTCCACAGTATTCCGCAGCAGTGAATCCCATGGTTAAACACAAGGAAGAAAGGTGCTTCCTTTAATTTGTCTGAAAACTGCTGCCCAGCTATGTGTGCCCAGGTTTTTCCTTATGAGGAGCACGGCATAACTGGTGTCTGTTCCCTGCAATGTTCCCTGTAGTGCCATGCAAGCGAGATCACTGCAGCACCAGTCAATGTGCAAAAAACACCTTCTAAATTAGGCGGCGTAGGCTTGGGAAGGGAGGGAGGGGAGGCAATGCAAGCAGATTAGTCACCGCAGGAAAGCTGCTTCTCCGCTCCTTCTGGGCAGAGAAGGTTCCAGCCAGAAAACCTCACTCCTGCTCTTGTTAAATTATTTCAGGGAGCATTGGGCCTAAGGGAAGGAGAGCAGGGGACTCACACTGAAACTTCTCCTTGACCTCCGTCCCGCACAGACATGCAATGCCGGTCTTGAAGGAGAGGGCCCTCATCTTCCCACTGCGACCACTGCAAGGCGAGACACGGCGGGGGTTTGCGAGTGGGTTTTGGTGCTGGGAGATGAGCAAGGCAAGCCCGTGCCAGCCAGCCCTGCCAGCGAGGGCCTCTCTGCGATGCCATGAGCTGGCATTGCATCACCGAGGACACCCTCCAAGCAGGGCAGCTCCGTAGATGGGCTCTGGGTTCAGCTACCTGTCAAAGACGTTGAGCAGCCAGTTGAGGCTCATGTCCACGCAGAGCGGCACGTTGACCAGGATGCCCCGCTCCTCCTCGAGCCTCTCGTAGAGGGCAGTGAGGCAGTGGATGACTTCGACCACGTCCATCGCCCGGTCGCTGGGCTGCAGGTCGTGCTCGTTGAAGACTTCCAGGGCGGTGGTCAGGGTCACCATGTCCACTGAGAGGGATGGGGGATAAGGAGGGAAAAACATGAGGCGAAGAGGTGAGAACCGAGGAGAGGGAGATGCAGCCCTGACCTGACCCAGGGCAGCCCCAGCCCCGCTGCAGGAGAGAAGCGAACACCCAGGGTGCAGGGAGGACCGGCACTGCTCCCAGAACTGGTCCCCCACTTGTAGACTCCACTGAAAATACCCATGTCACCACGTGGATTTGACTCCAAGACACCTTTCTGTGCTACTGTCCTTCCCTGTCGCCGTGGCCACAATCGAATCCACAGAAATGCTGTCCACAAAAGGCTCCTGCCAGCACGTCTAGGGCTGTGCAGAGCCATAGACGCCTGGGCCCAGCCCCTGTGCAAACAGGGACCCCAAATTCACCCACTGGCGGGCACCATTCCCACTCACCCTCACACCCTGGCTCCACAGGGTGCCCATCACCTCTTCTCCATGCAACAGGCTCACACCTCCCCTCAGAGCCGAACCTCCAGTGTGTGACAGCCTGGTGACAAGACCCAACCTTGCTGAGCACTGACCCTCCCTCTTGCTTTCTCTCCACCTTCCTGGCTTCTCACCACACCATCCCTCTGCAAGCAAAGCTGCTTTCAGCTCCTGGTTGCATCTAGTGCTTCTCTTAGAGCTCCTGGGCAAGCCCCTGTCTGATCAAAAAAAAATGGTTACTCTGCATTTCATCTTTTTATTCTCAATCCCTTCTGCTAACACCTGCTCTTGAGACATTTCCACTCTTTTCCTGCAAAGGGAAGCTCTGACACAGAATGCCAGTGAATGTGCTTAGCTTTCCAGTTCCAGTCACATCTTCCTGGAGCTTCTCTCCTTAGCCACCTGCTCCCCGGCAGCCTCCTGCCCTTGCTGTGCTGCTGAAAGGCTGTATTAGTTTAACACCCCTCTCAAAGGAGGCCCAGCACCAGGGAAATGCCTCTCCCACTCACGTCGCAAGGCTTTCTGCACCCGCCGCAGCTTCATGGCTGTCCGATACGCTGAGAACTTGATGTTGTTCAGATCCGCTGCCAAAACACAGGAAAAGAAAAATGAAACCACAGCTCAGTATCTTTATCTCCAGGGCAGGAAACAGCACTTGCCACTTCCAGACACTGTCCCCCAGCAGCACAAGCCCAGGCTGGAGCAGGAGGAAGAGGGGCAGTGTCTGGCAGGACATTACAACCCATTGCGCTGGGATGCATTTGGAAGCATGAGCATGGAGATCCTGGGCTCAGGGGACCTTGCACAGCACCTCACACAGAGAAAAGGCAGATGCTGCACAAGCGATTTGGTGGCAGCTTCCTTACCTAGTGTTTGGTAGAGCTCTGTCATCTTCGGGTGGTCCCAGCAAGTTGTCTGGGCCTGGTGGCTGGAGAGAGAATAGAAATGAATCAAGAACCGGGCTGGGGATTAAGTAGCTGCCAAGGGGAGAGACAAAGGACTGTCCCTTGTTCTATGAGGCTCTGTCCCCTGCTTGCTTCCAGCCCTCCCTGCCTTGAGGAGCCCTGGTGCACCCCTCATGTTGGCCATCATAGCGGGCAGCGAAAATCTGCTCCTGATGGCCTTGCACCTCCATGGAAGTCAGTGCTCAAACCAGTCTGCTGGTCCCTCCACCCATCAAATCAACCCACAACTTCTGCTTCTGCCAGAGCAAAACCCAGGCAATGGCTGAGCTGCCTCTTGGGGAGCACTCACTTGATGTAGTATGGCACTTTATTGGGGGAAATGGCTCGTTCCCAAGGGACTTGAACAGAGGCTGCAAGGAAAGAGATGCAGATGTTAGACAAACACCTTCATGTTGAGGCCCTTAACTCAAATTCTGTGCAACAGCTGAAGGATCTCAGGCAGATGAGGAGCCAGCCTGTAACTGCACTGGCTGTCCGCAAGCTTATCTTCATTATCTAGAGGACGGAAGCCCTATTATTACCCTCAGTTATTTTTGTTCGTCACAGGCAGCTTATCAAACCCACCATTTGAAAACTCTGCCCTTCCTTTTAGATGGCAGCACTTGATTTGCAAAGAAACCAGGGCCAACAAACCCCACCAACCTCCAGAAACCCCATGGGGATTGGCATTTCTGAGGCTGGACCCCAATCTCCGGAGACCGAATCTGCTGCGTGGGCTCCATAGGAATGGCATCCCTCTGCCCTAGGGAACGCAAACCTCCTGAACATGCACATTCATGACACCTGAATGACTAACGTGCATGTGGGGAACTGCCATCTGTTGTCTTACCCACACAACCTCCGAGACTGGCACGGTCCCATGATCACCGGGGAGCTGCCGCTGCAATTGTCACCTCTCTGCACTTGCAAAGGGATGTTTATGTCCCCGGCCAACCCTAGAAGGCTGGCAGGGCAGCACTACCTTTGGGAGATGCCACCTACTCCATACCTGGCACCATAGGCAACACAAGACTTGCCCAGGCCCTTTTCTAGCCGTATCTACAGCTTTGGGAGCTGCTGGGCACAGCTCCAGCAACAGGGCTCTGCGGCCTCTTGTGTCCCAGCCCGTGACAAACTGTCCTGCAGAGACACCCGTCAGCAGGGAAGCTGGGACAACCTGCTCACGTACAGGAGAGGAAGTGCTGGGAGCCCGGTCCAAAGTCCCGGTGGGCATCTTGGAGCTGCTTCAGGCGTTCATTTATGGAGGCCTGGAAAAAGGGATAACAGAATTTAATGGGAACCTGTCAGTCATTTCAGATCAAAGCCCGTTTCAGGAGGGGATGTGGTTACACTCAGACATGCCCAATCACCCAGGTCATCTTCCTTCCTTGCCTGCCTCGGTACCTGCATACCCCAGGCAACTCAGCCCTCTGCACCTCACTCCAAAGGCTGGAGTTCCCCCATCCGTGGGGCATTTGTGCTGCTTGGCCTTGGCCCTTGCCCACCTGCAGCTGTTTCCATCGCGTGTTGATGTGCTCCAGGGTGCGGGAGTTCTCCATGGACAGGTGGACGTCCGAGATGGCGAGCTGGTGCGCAAGGTCATTGACCACTTTCACCCCGTCCTTCATGGGGGAGAGCTCCTCTTTGAACAGCTGGAGCCCCCATGCCCGGGGAAGGAGGCAGGAATGAAAGGAAAAGCAGCAAACGGTCAGTACTCGGGGGTCTGATCCCTCTGCTATGAGCTAGGGTGGGCTCGGGGCTGCCCCGATGCAAGACCCGCTGCCTAACCCTCCTGCAGGCCAAGCTTAGTGGAAAGAAATGGGTAAAAGCAGTAGCCAGGATGGAGATGACTCAATTCTCCCAAGAATTCAACTGTGGAGAGGAACATCCCACCCCACTGAGCCACTGTGCTGGTGTAAAGGTACGATGTGCTCGAACGAGGCAATTCCTCGAGTCACTGCAAGTCAAATCCACCCTCACAAGCTGGGGAGCCAACCGAAGTATGATCGGCCCTTGGGAGTAGCAAGGCCAGGTCAGACCGAGCAGTCAGGAGGAAAAGCATCGCCCCAATGGAAATCTGCATCCCAGCACCCGCGGGACCAAAGCCAGAGCATTCCCAGAGTCCGATGTACCTTGGTCGACTGGATGTGCTCCGGCAGGGAGTCAATGAAGAGGTCCCCAATGGGCTCCCAGGTTTCACGCACACTTTCGGCCTGGTCCAGTGTTACACTGAGCTCCTCCATGGCCCCCTTAATCTCCAGGAGCTGCTCGAGGGTGCGCTCGATGTGACGGTGCTGGTCCACGCAGCGGGCCGTGAGCTTCTCCCACAGCTCGCTGGCCACGTTCGCCTGCTTCCACACGAAGCGGCTGATGTTCTGGATGCGGTGCCGGGGAGACACATCTGCCAAGGCAAAGCAGCAGGGGAATGGAGAGCAAAAGTGACAGCCCAGCCCAGAAGGAAGCAGGAAGACATATGAAGGGATGGCAGGGAAAAGGGAGAGAAAGAATCTAGGGAAAATGGGAAAGAAGGAGCAAAACCAAGCAAGAAGAGTATCTGTGTCTGCACCAGCTTCTCTCAGGCTCCAGCCTGCCCACAGATCTCTGTATTTGCCAGCAGAAGCTCTGCTCCCCTTTGCAAGCGCATTGCAGAGCACACCTGATAGCCTCTCACAGGATATACCCATCATGGGCTGCCCAAGCAGCTTCTGCCTTCACCTGGGACAAAAGCACAGGGCTGCACTGATCCGACGGATCAGAAACAGGGCAGAGCCCTCAGATCTTCCCCCAGACACATCCTTGTGGGTCAGGTATAGAACCACTAACGAAGTCCACACCAGGATGCACCAGGCAGAGGACACGCCAAAGAGGAGGGTTGGTCAGAAAATCCCTGAAGACCCAAAGTTCGCTCTGTGTCAGGCTCCCTGACCAACAGGAGAGTGAGGAGAGGCCACCTGGCACCTCGGAAAAGCCACCGGGTGCCAACATCAGCCACCTGGACTCTGTCCTCCCCATCTGGGAACTGTGCTTTGCTGTGGGAGGACAAGGAAGGGGAGCTCCACAGACCTTTGCTTTCTGCAGTTGGTTCTTCCAGTTCCTCAAACGGATGCTGGGACAGGAAAGCTTGTGCTGACTCCAGGACGGAGTAAATGTACGGCCCCCGAGACTTCACTTCTTCCATGAAAGCCTGGAGAGGAAAAGCAGAGCACAGGAATGAGACAACGGGCTGAGCCAGAGAATTACCCCCTTAGCCAAGGGCTGCAGTGATTACTCACCCCGGTGCCCGATTCAACTACCAGCACACACTGGTAAGCAACATCCTAAGGAAATGCTACCAGAAAAAAAAAGCACCCAAGCCTCACTGGAAACACAGAGGGAAGTTAACAGAAATATTTTTGCATTTGAGGGAAAGAATGAGCTCCTGCAAGAAGGGCAGTGCGTGCGAAGCCTGGGTCCTGCTGGAGGGGACGGCTGAGCAGCCAGCTCCGAACAGGGACGCGAGGAGGGAGCGCCGCGCAGCAGGGACTGCTCTGCATCCACGGGCCTCCCAAGCAGCTGCTCCAGCGGCTGTTCAGCAACCGGAGACACGAGAGCCCGGGGGGACCCACCGCATGCGTCTCCTTCTCCTGCTGCACCAGGAGGACGTCTCCCCGGAGCGGGAGCTGCGCCGAGAGCTCCTCATCCTTCTGCCCAAGCCAGTCGATGATCTCCTGGAGAGGGACCTGCAGCTTCCCGCTGTGGTCGGAAAAAGCCTCCAGTCGAGCCCTGGAGACAGAGAGGGGAAAAGAAAATCCAGAGCTACCCTCAACCCTGAAGCTGGGAGCGGAGGATGGAGCCGCTCCGGGTTCGCCACGCACCGTGGTCTGCGCTCTGGTGAGCGCGGGGCTTGGCCGGCTCCCAGGAGCCTCATGTTAAGGCAAAGACAATTAGCATGCCCCAATTAAGCTCTCCATCACGCTGGCTGTGGAGCTGCCACCTCGGAGGCCTGGGGAAGGGCTGTTCAGATGGAGACTGTTCCCAGCAAAGGGACGAGCGCAGAGGAGGTGGTGGGAACATGAGACTAAGCGCAGAGATGTGGTGGGGAAGGATGGAGAGAGGCAGAGGGTGGAATGAGGGAGGAGAGGGAGAGAGAAGGAAGGAACGAGTGAAAATCGAAAAGGATGTTCTTCAGGTGGAGGGAGAGAGTTGGAGGCTCTGATTTCTGCCAAGAGGGGAACCCAAGGCAAGGTCACCGTGCACTGGGGCAGAGGGAAGCGGCTCCAAGGCCTCCTGACAGGTATCTGCAGCAGGGGCTCGCTCCAGGCAGGGGCTCTTACCGAAGGCTGTGAGATTTCTTTTTGATCTCATTCCAACAAAGATTCATCTCCGGGGGGGCCTGGGGCCCAGTAGCACTGCTGGGAGCCCGGGGGGTTATGCACGAAGGTCCTGCACCATCCCGGGAGGCTCTAACCTAGGCAGAAACAGACCCATCTGACGCACCGCGCGCAACGAGCAGGGCCAAGACCCTCCGTCCAACCCCTCCACCTCGACTCTGCTTCTCTTTTCCAGCTCTCGAGGGGACCATCCTGCTCCAGAGGGACTGTTAGCTGCGCTGGTGAAACACACGGCCTCGTCCAGGGAGAGGATTTCGTGCCAGGAAAGAGCAAAGCGGCGTTTCCAGGGAGAAGAGGCTTACAGCACATCTGCTCCGCAGGATCCCTGCCCTCCCCAGCTATTCCGCGGTGACCTGGCTGAGCTTTATCACTGCTATTTATTAAATCAGAGCGGGTGCTGGGTGTCATCACTGCTGCAGGACCGATGACCATTTCTTTCCATGCCACTCAAGGGGCTCAAGCGCTTTGGGAAGGGGTGGCACAGCAGGGTCTGTTGTCCCTGGTGCCCAAGGGGACCTGCCAACCTCATTTATGCCACTTGCAAAACTCTAAGGTGCCACCAACTTCTCTATGGGACAGCGAGGCCATTTGCCACCTGCAGAGCAAGCCTTGGGGTTGCTGCTTCCCTCCAGCACGAGCAGTGGTGGGAAGGATGCTCTGAGCAGGAAGGATGGCTGGGAATGATGCGCTGAGAAGCACTGGAGCAGCCAGCAGCAAAACCCCAAGGCAGCAGCACCAGGGAAGCGGGCTGTGCACTGCAATCCCTTCAGAGCCCAACCAGACACGGTCCATGTGCCCACCAGGAATTCCCATGGGGAAGGAATCCTGCCCGGAGTGCTGTACCGCGCTCCTCGCAGGGACAGCGAGGACATCCTCGCACTCCCGGTGACACCAACACACGCTGGCAGCACTGGAAGCATCTCAGTGAGCGAGGGGGCATCTCCTCTCTCCAAAAATCATTTGTTGCCCAAAACACAAATGAGCTGTTTTCACTGTGCTATACTGGGGAAATGGCAGCATTTCACTCCAGTTCCACTCTGATATTAGAGCTCATTTGTGATAATCAGCCCCAGGTGATTAATCAACCATAATTAACCGCATTAGAGCTTTCTAAGCAGTGCATCCAACAGGCTCCCCCTTTGCCAGACAGCATCCTCCTCTGGGGAAAGCGACAGCTCTTCCCAAGGGAATGCGCCCGTCTCCGTTGCTCAGCCTGCCAAAGGGCTCCCGGAGTTTCCTGGAGCCAAGGCAGGAGCAAAATGTTGAAAAGGAGATTGACCAGGAGAGAAAACAGCACCCTCTGTGCTGGCTCTCAGGGAGAAACAAATGATCACTGGGGCTGGTATTAAGTTTCTTGATCTAAAAGCATCTAACGCCAAGCTGTTCCCTGCCTCCCCATCCTGCCACTCTAGAAGCATCATAAAAAAAGGGGAAAAAAAAAGCAAACTGTCACCCACGGAGTTCACAGGAATCTTAGGACCATGAATAATAAATCACTCGAGCTAAATCTGCTGCTTGCATGCAGAAAATCAATACCCTGCCCGCGCACATCCTCCTGACAGCGAAGTAGGTTACCCCAGAGCACTGCTGGGGAACACCCCAGCCCGCTCCGAGGACACCGGCTCCGTCTGGGCACAACCACAGCCCAGCTCCATGGAAAACGTGGTTCTCAGCCTTGCTCCAGAAGAGGTTAGAAGCCCGCAAAGCCTGCGACTCGATGGCCACAACCTGCAGATGAGCCCGAGTGACGGCGGCCAAGCGCTGGCCAGATGCTGAGCAGCTGCTGCCCTGGTATAAACCCCTGCAAGTGGCAGCAAAGTGGAAACGCAGCAAACCGGGAAAACCAGGTTCCCCACGAGCATCCCTTGAGGGCCTTTGTGTTTCAACCCGCGGCCCCCAGGCGGGCCCCCGAGGTGCCCCTACCTGCGCCGACCGCCGGTCGCGCCGCAGGGCCGCCCCGCTCCGCCGCCGGAGCCGGCATCGCCGCCGGGAGCAGGGAGAGCGCCGTGTGCGGGGCAGAGCGGGGCCGCGGCTGCACTGACTCCCCAGGAATCTGGAGGGGGGCGGCTGTGCCGCCCGCTGAATCCCAGCTTTGTCCGGAGGAATTCCAGCGGCCTCCGACCTGCCTTAACCCCAGGGGTGCCGCCTGCGACACAGGGATGTCGCTACCGCAAGGTTCCCGAGCCGGGAAAATCCCATGGGAGCAGCTGCCCACAGCAAAGGATCAGCTCCAGCCCCGGGGAACCTCCGGCTCTGGGAGGGCACGGCCAAGGTGACGCTGCTCTGGGCTGGGGGACCGGGATGGCAGCAGAGCCCCCTTAGCCCCCTGCACATGGGGCAGCGGGTGTTTGCCAGGGAAGGGGTTGGTCCCTGCAAGTTTTGGCTACCAGCAAAGGAGCCAGCCAGGTCCTCAAAACCTGTCCCCAAAGACACTCGTGCCCCATACGGGTGTCCTGGACCCCCTGGTGCCATCCTGGGCACTCCAGGCCACTGGTCCTGCCCGCCTGGGTGCAAACAGCTTGTTTTTGCCAGCAGGCTCCAGGCGGGCTCCTCGCGTCCCCCACAGCGTTCCCGGCACCCGGCATTGTTCCCGTGCTCTCCTCCACCTACAGCGAAGGAATGAAAAGCTCCCTGTATCTCTCCCCCCGTTCCCTGCCTGCACATCTGGCTTGGGTCTTTCCCTCCCGCCGGCCTCGTCCCATCTCACGTCTCTCTCATCTCGGCTTGTTGGCCGATCGGAGGAAGGGGTTTCAGCAAGGCCGGGATGCAGTTAAATACGGGATATCCGCAGCCTTTCAGGACAAGGGGGGCAGCAGAGGCGGCTGCTCCCTTGGAGGGGAATGGCCCAGCCTGTCCATCCAGCACCCGCTGATCACCCAGGAGTCTTGAGCCTCGCTGCTGGCTCCGTCCCTGGGGGAAGGCAAGGAGAGCCCTATGGCATGAGCACAGTGCTGCATTCCCTGAGGAAACTACACTGGGAAAGGTCAGAGTCCTCTGCCCTCTGGGATCTTAGCCCGTGGTGTGTGCTGGAGGCAAAGCTCCGAGCTCTGCCCTGCAACCAAGACGCAGAAGGAGGCTTAAAATCCAGCTCTGCCAGCTGCCCCTCCTGCTCTTTTTACCTCTCCTCAAGGGTTACAGCTGCAAAGTTCTTACTAAATTCAAGGTGAAGGGGTCTAGAGCCAGCCCTTCCCTACCAGCAGGAGCAGGGGATGTCCCGCTCTCTCCGCATCCCGATGTCTGGAAGCTGCTGGGAGGAAGACGCGGAGCCCCAGGCTCTTACCTGACACAGAAGGACGGCATCACAGCGGGGCCGCGA